GGAGAAGTGATGGGTGGTGAGATGGGTGATTTCTAATGCCAGGATTGATCGGAAAAGACTTGAGAAGTCGCGGCCCAAAAGGTATCGGTGGCCTGCTATGGCAGAGTAAACAGATGAGGTTTGATAGGGGTTTTGGTGAGAAGGCTGAATGAAGGAAGATGGTGGTGTTGGGGAAGGCCAATGATGCCAAGTACATGCCAAAAAAGTCGGAAATGGATATTGCATGCGGTGGATCTAGGTTGCGAGATTCGTAAAAAATTGACCAAATCAAAGGCTATCAAGCTGATAAAGTGATACTTCCAGTCAATTTTGGTAAGAAAATCGATTGGAATCAACTCTAAATGGTCGGCAGCAGAAGAGGGGTGGAGATGATTTATGTGAATGTCAAATTTTGGGATTGAATTGGAGTTGAGTAATTTGAGATATGTAAATGACCATTTTAGCCTTTAATTGTTAAAAGAAATTCAATGTGTTAATTTAGGGGTTTAAATTAGAATATATGAAACTAGAGGTACAATCTTGCTATTTCATCAAACTTTGGGTGGAAATATATGTAAAAAGTTTATAATAAATTTGGGCATTTTTCCTTTTTTTGGGAGGCCCCTTGGATTGGCCTAGATAAGAAATTATATACCATTTTTATTTTTGTAATATATTCAAAAAATATTTTTAAAAATTTGGCCCATTTTTGCCCCTTTTTTTTTGGGCCCTAGGCAGATGCCTCACTTGCCTACCCCTTGAGTCGGCCTTGATCTAGATCCTAATTTTTTTAATAATTTTGAATCCATGAAGAAGAAAGAGGGACTGAACACTTGAGTTGAATACAAGGGAGATACAGATGAGCAGAATAGTATTTGCATGAAAAAATTCATGTTAAACGGGTTGATTATTATTATTATTATTATTATTATTATTATTATTATTATATAGTGCATGCATGCCGGCCCTGTATTGATTATAATTTCAGTTTGTGAGAGTGAATTAAAAATTAAATTATTTGTGTTTGGAGTGAATTGTTGACATGTATATGCATGATGTGAAGAATTATCAGGTTTTGGTCAGGTGATGAATTGATTATGATGACATGCATGAGTGAATTGGAGAATATGTGTCATGTCCCCTCCTGAGTAGTCCCTATCCCGTTGGATCTAGGTGCTTTGAGAAGAGGAGGGTGAAATTTTTCGAAACCATTTATAAACTCCATTCATAAAACATTTAATGTCATTTAAACAACACAATACATAGTTCTAAAAACATAAATTTTAGAAATAGTTTACATAAAACAATTATATTGTATCAAAGTTGCTCTAGCATGTACAAGTATAATTTCGAAGAATATGTGTATATGGCCAACCGAAAACATATAGCATGTGCCTCACATAACCTATATACGCAAACCTAAGGGGAAAAACATAAAATCGTGAGCTGGGAAGCCAATGAGTGGATAATACAGTTTATATACAAAAAAGCTTTCAACCTTAAAAACATGCTCGAGGAAAACCATAGAACCTTGAATCATACAAACTCATGCTAGCCAAAGTAATCCACGCCCTCCTACCAAATTTCTGATCCCATGAGTCATCATATCAAATTCACCTAAACTGGTATATATATATATACACAAGCATACACTCATCGAACATCCACAATTTCCACCCTAGCTAATACCTGTAGGATATCCACAAAGTCCACCCATTCAATTAATGCAATTACTATAACCACGATCACTACACACTAGTACACATGGTCTCTAATACAGACAAACAACTAGGCCACTCACAATCTACCTTGAGGTGGGGCCTTCCACAGTCTACCCTCAGGATGGCTAAAGCATCACATGATGACCATACTTGACCCACAGTCTACCATTGGGGCATCATGATATGGCATCAAAATAATAAATCCTGCCCACAGTCTACCCTCGGGGGGTCAAGTAACAATATCTCACCCACAATCTACCCTTAAGGTGAAATCCTGCCTGGAGCTCATCAAATGCCCATCCTGTCCTTGTAGGAAGGGATGGAATCATCATCGTACGATAGTACAAGCCATCTCCATGCATGCATAAGACTAATAATATCCCACCCACAGTTTACCCTCGGGGTGGTTCTATCCACAGTCTACCCTTGGGATGGTATACTCATCACTGGATAATCATACTTGATCCACAGTCCAGCCTCAGGACATCATGATATTGTATCCCAAAATATCCAGCCTGGAGCTCCTTAGGCATCCGTACTATCTTGATAGGAAGCTACCACCATGTGGTAGTACGAACCATCTCAACACACACGGGAGGCTAAGAAACAAAATACGGGCTAGCTGATGTCTGAAGAGGGACGGAATTATAGAAGGGTGATCATAAATCCAAACACAACATACCCTTTCACTCCTAGCCAAGCACATTCTTACACACTTACCTGCATATTCAACACATCACACATCCCCAACCTTTAATGATATTTCATGTGAGCAATATTAGCCATACAGTTCATAATAACGCCAACATGTACAAACGAGTGTAATGTTGCGAAATATGAACATGTAAATTGTCAATTTACCTCTATATTATTCATTCATTTTCTCTAGTCCCAAACATTTTGAATTCTTACAATTTACACCCTACTTGTGCTTCAATATTTCAAAGCTAACAAATTGCCCCTTGAGAGTCCTTCCACCAATTTCAATCTAGTTCCAACCCAAAACCCAATCAATATAATTTTGGGTCTTATTAAGAATGGGCTAACTCACTAATTCACTTATAACCAATGTTTTAAAACCCGACCCAGCCTAGCCGGTTGAACCGGTTAAACCGGGACCCGGCCAATCAGCCGGGCCAGGTGAGCCATATAATTGGTAGAATTACTCTGCCCAGTTTGACCCGCAGTTGGACCGGGTACTGTAGCACCCACCGGTCCAACCGATAACTTTACTACAAACCGGGTCATGCCAAAATCACATACATTAATACAAAATTTAAAAAATAAAAATATGAAATTTAATAAATTATATTAACTATACAGTACACACTTAAACAGTATCAACATTTCCCCCCATTCTACATTTTCACGCTACTTTCCTCTTTCGTCTGAACTCTGAAGTCTAAACTCCTCTGAACCATTTTGCATTTTCAATTTTTCATCATCCACGAACTCCCCTTCACCAGTTCACTAACTTCACCATGAATCTCGTCGCATTAGCCTTCACCGTCACCAGTTCACCGTAGAATCTCGTCGTCTCCCCTTCACCATTTCGCGATCTGTTCTCACTCTCTCTCTTCACCGCCGATCTGCTCGTTTCTTCCATCACCGTCGATCTGGAAGCTGCACCATCGTTGTCATCTTCTTCTTGCTCAGGAACTGACGAACTGTGGGCAGTCGCGATCTCTTCTTCTCTTCTGCGGTTCTGCTCTGTTCAGTGTTCAAGTGTTCGTCCGTCACAGTCGAGCTCCACATCTCCAATGGTCAACGGTAGCTCGTCTTCAGTCTTCAACAACAGGAAGTATTGATTTTGTCTCTGTTCCAAGTTTCTAATTATGTTTATCATTCTTGTTACTGTAACACTATTAACTTATTATTGTTTTTCATTTTTAGTTTTTTACTACAATGTTTATACTTTATACTTTATAGTTTATAACTTTATATTGCCGTTTGTAATTAGCAAGAGTCCCCATTGTCTCAGCATTGACTTGTTAGTATCTATTACTCTTTGATTTTTTTAAGTTGATCTGTCGTCTGTGTTTCTATTTTATGTTTTTTATTTTAATGTAAATTGTAATGTTTATCGAGTTTTTGATATGTTAGTTAACACTTAACAGTCATTGATTTAGATACTCTTTGATTAATGTGTTCAAACTTTAGAGTTAAATTTGAGTAATTAGATTGGTTCAATTTTGTTTCCTTGGTTACTTTGATATGATTTCTGCCGTGGCTTGATTCATTTGAGTTACTGACAGGTTGTTAAATTTTCTTTTGAAATATTATTGATAGTATGAGTGATTGCAAAGTGTTTGTGGTGAAAAATGATTGATTAGTTGCTCTCTGAATTATTGTACGTTGTAAGTTTGTTTGTTTCAGTTCATAAATCTTACTGAATATTAATACAGTAAGATTAGTTGCTCTCTGATTGATTAGTTGTAGTTGTTGTAACTTGTAGTTGCTCTCTGATTGATGTAACTTGTTGTAACTTACTGAATTGTTGTAACTTGTAGTTGCTCTCTAAATTGTTGTAACTTGTAAGTTGTAAGTGTTTGTGGTGAAAAATGATTGATTAGTTGCTCTCTGAGATGGGACCTAGAATAAATCTTTAAAGTTTGATACTTTGATTGTAACAGATCATCCATCCTTATTTGTTATTTGTGTCACCAGGGTAGAGATCAAGATTAAAGGCAAAGAATATGTCATCATCTGGGTCTTGTCAACAATCTGCTTCCATGGATGTTTCCCAAACTTTTCGAGGAAGAAATGATATAGCATAGGCACATGTTAATGAGGGCGTGGATGAAAATGGGAAGAAGATATTAACATGTCTTTACTGTGGCAAGATAATCAGACCTGGAGGAATTTATCGAGTTAAATTGCATCTAGCAGGTGTAAAGGGAGAAGATGGAAAGTGCCCTAAAGTTCCTTTCGGTGTTAAATTCAAGATTGGAGAAGCATTAAATGAAATTGGGGCCAAGAATAAACAAAAAGTTGAACTTCGTAAGAATGCCAACCCATATGGAGCTAGTGTACAACAATTTGAGGGTGATATGTTAGATGAAGATCAAGAGTGTGAAGAGGTTTCTCCATGTCCAACTCCAGCTCCAACTTCAACTGCAAGCAGTAAAAGAAAAAAATCTATTGGGATAGGTGACTATTTTGCTCCGAGGACTAAGGCTGGGTGTCAGCCCTCAATTAGGAGTGTTTTAGCCGGAAAAGAAGCTAAGTGGAGAGCGAACATGGCTGTTGCAAGGTTATTTTATGATTCTTGCATCCCAACTAATGTTATTAATTCAACCTATGGCGGATGCTATAGCTGTAATTGGTCCTGGGTATAAAATCCCAACTTACCATAATTTGCATGTGAATTTATTGAAAGATGCTAAGAAAGAAGTGCAATCACTTGTTGATAGTTACAAGAAAACTTGGGAGGATGTTGGATGTACTTTAATGGCTAATGGTTGGACATATCATTCACATAGTTTGCTGATTAATTTTCTAGTGTACTGTCCTAAAAGAGTATGTTTTGTGAAATCAGTGGATGCTTCAGATGTTGTAAAGGATGCTGCAACATTGTTTGGCTTGTTTGAGGAAATAGCTTTATGGGTTGGACCAAACAATATTGTCCATCTTGTCACTGAAAATGGAGCAAACTATAAAGCTGCTGGAAGAATGTTGTCTGAAAAATATAGCAGTATTACTTGGTCTCCTTGTGCAGCACATTGCATTAATTTGATGTTGAAAGACATAGCTGAGATGAGTCATATAGTCAACCTTTCGACCCGTGCATCTGAGGTTGCAAAGTTTGTGTATAATCATTCCTTTGTGTTGGCTTTGTTGAGGAAAAAACAGGTTCTATACCTTTACTTCATATGTTTATAATTTACATTGTCAAGATATATTATATATGTACAGTTTTTAATAATTTACCAAGTACTAACATTTATTTCTATCACTTGAATAGGGTTGGACAGAAATTATACACCTAGGTGCAACCCCTTTTGCCACAACTTTCATTGCATTGAGCAGCCTACATTAGCACAAACATAACTTGCAATCTACAGTGACAGATAGAACTTTTGTGGAGTGCCGATATGCAAAAACTAATAAAGGCAAAGCCTTTATTTTCATAGTTCTAGATAACCAATTCTGGGATGACATTGGTATAGTTTCCAAAGTTATGAGTCCATTGATGCGTATGCTCCGGATTGTAGACTCAGATGAGAGGCCTTCAATAGGATATGTGTATGATGGCATGTACAGAACGAGGATGGGAATCAAGAAGCTATTTAAGAACAAGAAAAATTTGTACAAGCCTTATATAACAATTATCAAGATGCGTTGGGATAGGATGTTGCGCCGTGATCTTCATGCAGCAGCATATTATTTGAATCCTGCTTTTAAATATGACGAGGACACTTTTTTCAAAAAACCTGAGGTCATGTATGGTTTTCTTGACACTATTGACAATAAAGCAAGTGCATTCAAAATGAGCAAGACAACGTTACTAGAAGAGAGTAGATTATATCGAGATCGTCTAGAAAGCTTTTCTCGTGAGCTTGCTTTTCAAACTTGCAAAACTACACGGCCAGGTATGTAATAGTTATTAACTTTTTAAGTCTAATTTTTAAGTTATGAAATTGTGTTTATTTCTTATGTAATTTATATTTTTATTCTCAATTAGATGAATGGTGGAGGACATTTGGGTTTAGTACTCCAAATTTGCAAAAGTTTGCAATCAAAATTCTAAGTCAAACTTTGGCCTCTTCCGGATGTGAGCGAAATTGGAGTGTTTTTGAACGCATACATACTAAAAAGATGAATAGATTGGAGCATCCACGGTTGAATGATTTGGTTTTCACTCATTATAACTTGCGTTTGCAAAATAGGTATAAAGTCTTCTTCATTTTGTTATTTTTATTGATGTCTTTATTGGTCATGATTTGAATATTTAATTTTCCTATTTCAGGAGTTGTTACAAGAAAATTACATATGATCCTATTGATTATGAGAGTATTGATAAAACTGAATGGTGGATAGTTGATGAGGAAGAGGAGGTTGGTGAGCTTAATTATGATGAATTGGAACAAATATTATATGGAGAAGGAGCTATTCATGTAGATGGTGGTGAATCTGGTGATCACCCTTCTTATTATGACTCAATAGATGCTTCAGAAGGTTATTTACAATTTTTTAAGCAATTTCAATTTGGTATTAGCTAGTTTATATTCAATTAATTTAAATGGGAAGATTAACTTATGGTTTTTCTTTTTTGCTAGAATTTTTTGTAGATGATGTCGCCGATGTTAATAATGATGACGATCATCCATCAGGTGGTGTGTGAATTGTCAATTTTAATTGAGGATAGAATGATGGATTGATTGATTGAAGACCATTTGGTGAAGATCAATTTTTGTTAGAATGTTGAAATGTTGAGTCGTTGACTTGAAAGTTGGAAACTTGAAACAACTATTATGTTATTTTTCTTCATTTATTTTGTTATTTTGATTTGTATTATTGATATAATAATGTTTGATGATGTTTTGCAATGGATTTTTTATTTTGGAGTTTATGGTTTGGACTTTGGAGTAAAACAGGGAAAGAAATGTATTCTGTGAACAGTATTTTGATGACGTCATCATGCTGACATCATCAAGTTACTGTTCACCGGTAGAACCAGCTGATTCAACCGATTAAACCGATCGACCTGGGACCTAGTCCTCTTGTCGAGTTTTATCCCGGGTCAATTTTTAAAACATATCTTATAACTCAACGATATGATCTGGTCCTTTTTAATTCCATTAAGCCCATAATATAGTAATAAGTCTAATTACCCAAACCAAATGATTGGGCCTAATATCTATAGGTCAACCCACTTAAATAATTAAATTCACCAATTTAATTAACCCATCAATTCCTTAAATAAAACCCTATGACTTAGACAACCAACTAGGCCTTAATAGTGATAACCAGCTTACCTCAACAATGAACCCAACCTCTTGGGTTTCTCTCACCCAACCACTTCAATACTTATCTTCAACACTCCCATTCATACCATTTTAAATCCCCAATCAACTTTACAAACACACAATGATCCTCCCCAAAACAACCCAAATCACCAGCTCAACAACTAATAATAATAATAGTAATAACAATAATAATAGAACATGGTATTTCAACTAACAATATCCAAATTGAAGGGAAGCATGTAATTTTCTAGGTTTCTCTCCACTCTAATTAGACTTGGCCAACTTGGACCCGTACCTGCGGGTCCATGGGTACCTGAGTAAAATGGTTGGGTACGGGTAATCATAATAATTACCCATATCAGGTTTACCCATACCTAACCCGCCCATAAAATAACGAATGGGTCAGGTGATGCCCGTAGGTACCCGCACAAAATTTAAAAAAAAAAAAAAAAAAAAAACAACGTGAAATGAAAATTGAAGGAGAAGAAAATCTTTAAATCTAAAACAAATCAATAATATCAACAAGAAAAACTCACAAATCAACATTCATACCAATAAAAATAAACCATAGATCAACATTCATAACAATGAAAATAAACCACAAATCAACATTCATACCAACAAAAATAAAGCACATAATAACAAGAGAAGGCATGGATCAAGTCGTGAAGTGGTTGCTGTTCACTGGCAGCCTTCCACAACGCCACACATGCTACCCCTTACCAATGGAGATAATGGAGATTATAGATGTATAATATATTTAGTTTATAAAAGAGGAAGGAAAATGGAAAATGGAAAATGAGACACAAAGAACAAAGGAAAATGGGAGAGGAAAAAACTTAAATCCCTTTTCAGTAAGAGAGAGGGAGAAAAAGAAGACAAAGAAGAATTGGAAGGGTGAAGACTAAAGAAGAAGAAGAAATATGAAAAAATGGAGAGGGAGAAAAAGACGAAGGAGAATTGGAGAGAGGGAATAGAAGAAGAAATATGAAAAAGTGGAGAGGGAGAAAAAGACAAAGAAGAGTTGGAGAGAGGGAAAGGGAGAAGACAAATTGAAGAAGAAAAAATATGCAAAAGCGGGGAGGGAGAAAAAGACAAGAAGAAGACGAAGATGAAAGAGAAATATCTAGAGTAGAGAAATAAACGGGAGAAAAAACTTACAAATAAAAAAATTGGAGAGGAAAAATTTTAAAAAGTAAAATAAACAGGTGACCACGGGTCGACTCGTACATATCCATGCGGGAATGGGTCATGCATTTTCCTACCCATGAAATTTTTTTACCTATGCCCGTTTTACCCATTACCCATAGCTACCCGGCCCGCCCATTGGCCAAGTCTAACACCAATCCATTTTCCTCACTTCCTAATCCATCTCCTCACACGAAATTCACTCCATTAACATTCATATACATACAATAACCCATCCTAAACATACCATAAACACAAATCACACAAGTTGAGATCTCCATGATCCCATAATTCAACCCAAAACCCATCTCTCTCTTAACAACTCTCAACCCTTCCAAAAATGGTTGGATTTTCACTCAACCACACCTATTCAAAACCAAATCAATATCCACACACACACAAAAACATACAATTATACACTTAAAACTAAAACAAATATAATAACACCATGAATTCTCTTAATACAAAAATATTCCACTTACCTATTTGTCCAAAACTTTCTTCTTCTTCTTCCTCTTCATTCGGCTCACTCTCCTCTCAACTCTTTGGAAATCTTCTTCTTTTTTTTTTTCCTCACTCTTTCTCTCCTCTCTTCTTGATTCTTATTTATTTTGGGCGAACAACCCATTTCTTATATAAAACAATTTTCTCAAATTATAAATCTGCCTCAAAGATTCATTTATTCTCCTTGACCCTGCCACCTCGGATTTTCTTCAAAACGCCCCCAGAAGGTTTCAAAAACTCATATTTCACCCCCCAAAAATCACAAAACGAAAATTAATAAAATCCCAAAAGGGTATTACAATATGTATGACTTTATTACATGGACATGTAGTTAAATTGATGAGCTGCAAGTCTAATTTTTATTTGGTATTATGTTTGGAAATAATGTATATGCTTGTTGATTTGTTGATGTTGGAAAGAGTATGCACTTAATAAAAAGAAAAGAAAAAAGATCATTAAGGATGTTGTTGGATAGCACATTTCATGCTTTCGGCTATCATGGTAATTGAATTGTTGTTGGATGCTCTTAGGTGTTAATGTTGAGTCACGTGAGTTTATTTGATTAAGTCTCTTTGTTATTTATGAGTCTGTTGTTTTGTCCGAGTCCATTGGAGTCTGTTATTAGTGGGATAATGCTTAAATTGATAATGTTGCAAGTCCTAGTCTTTGGGCGCTTATGCAGGAGTTAGTGGCTGAGTTAGTGGCTAGATATTGTTTAGGCATATAGCCGTTTGGCATTTAGCTCTATAAATAGAGCAGTTTGCTTTTGAGTCATTGTATTCTTTAGCAGCAAAGTAATAAATAATTCTTGTCTTTTGTGTCATTAACTATTTGTCTCTTTCTTTTTATTTTGTCAACATATGGTATCAAAGCCTGGTTAAAACAAAAATAGTGTGAGGACTTTGACAAAAGTGAGAGAAGAAAGAACGAGGTGTGTGTCTGCTAGTGAGGTTGAGAGTTAAAAAAAAAAAAAAAAGGCGAGGTTTGTGAGAACGAAAGGACGTATTGCAGCAGCTTTACTTCTTTTCTCCTTCTCTTTGTTTTATTTTTTGCAGCAGCAGTGAACGATGGCCACCGACAACTTTGTTCAACCTTCTATTCCTCGATTGATGGTCATTATGATCATTGGAGCATGTTAATGGAGAACTTTCTAAGATCTAAGGAGTATTGGCACGTCGTCTCTGAAGGAATTACGGAACCAGCAGATAGAACAATGACACAAGTACAAAAAACTGAGCTAGAAGGGCAGCGGTTGAAAGATCTCAAGGCAAAGAATTATCTTTTCCAAGCAATTGATCGCTCAATCTTGGAAACCATTCTTTGCAAAGACACTTCAAAACATATTTGGGATTCCATGAAGAAGAAGTACCATGGTTCTGCAAGGGCAAAGAGGCAGCAGCTTCAAGCACTTCGTACGGAGTTCGAAACACTTCGAATGAAGTCGGGAGAATCAGTTACAGATTATTTCTCTCGAACAATGGCAATCGTGAACAAGATGCGGATCCACAAGGACAAGACAGAGGATGTGAACATAGTAGAGAAGATTCTTCGATCCATGACACCAAAATTTAATTTTATTGTTTGTTCAATAGAAGAATCTCATGATATTGATGAACTTTCAATTGACGAATTACAAAGTTCTTTGTTGGTTCATGAACATAAATTTAACCAGCAGGAGAAAGAGGAGCAAGCTTTGAAGGCCTCAACGGAAAATCACTCAGCAACAAGAGGAGACAGAGGATGAGGTAGAGGTCGAGGTAGAGGCAAAGGAAATAATGATCGTGGAAATCAACAACACCAACACCAACACCAACACCAACACCAACACCAGGATAACAAATTTCAGGGAAGAGGAAGAGGAAGAGGACGAGGTGGTAACCACTCGACTACATATAAATCGAGGTCAGCAGACAAGTCCAATGTGGAGTGCTATAGATGTCATGAGTATGGTAACTACAAGTCTGAGTGCCGAACTAATCTGAATAGATAAGGTGAAGAAAGAACTAACTTTGCAGAAAAAGAAGAAGAGGTGTCTCTTTTGATGGTGTGTCACGTAAAGGAAGAAACTCAACCAAACATGTGGTATTTAGACACTGGCTGCAGTAACCACATGTGTGGAGATAAGAAGGCGTTCTCTGACCTGGATGAATCTTTTCGCAACACCGTTAAGTTTGGTGACAACTCCACGATTTTTGTTATGGGAAAAGGAAGGGTAACTATTCAAACTAAGGAAAATTCCACCCACACTATCTCTAATGTTCTTTTTGTCCCAGATCTAAAGACCAACTTGCTTAGTGTGGGTCAGCTGCAAGAGAAGGGGTACGAGATTTCTATCAAAGATGGAGTATGTCAAATTCAAGATGCAAAGTTAGGTTTAATTGCTCAAGTTAACATGACGGCAAATCATATGTTCCCGTTTTATCTCCGCAACACCACTCATTCATGCTTCTTAGCAAAACTGAACGATGCAGCATGGCTATGGCATTTTTGCTATGGTCACCTAAGTTTTGGTGGATTGAAGACTCTACAGCAAAAAAATATGGTGACTGGTCTTCCTCAAATTACTGCTCCATTTGAAGTTTGTGAAGAGTGTGTTGTTAGCAAACAACACCGTAATCAATTTCCGCAAGGACAGTCATGGAGAGAAAAGAAGCAATTGGAGCTGGTTCATTCTGACCTTTGCGGGCCAATAGATCCACCTTCCAATGGAGGTAAAAGATACCTGATGACATTCATTGATGGTTTTAGCCGAAAAACATGGGTGTATTTTTTACAGGAAAAGTCTGAAGCTTTTACAGCTTTTAAAAGCTACAAAGTTCTTGTTGAAAAAGAAATTGGCAATGAAATAAAAGTTCTTCGTACTGATTGCGGTGGAGAATACAACTCATATGAATTTGCAAATTTCTGTAAGACTCATGGAATTCAAAAGCAACTTACAACAGCTTACACACCGTAGCAGAATGGCATTGCAGAAAGGAAGAATCGTACAATCATGAACATGGTGTGGTCAATCCTGGCAAGGAGCGAGATTCCAAGAAGTTTTTGGCCAGAAGCTGTCAATTGGAGTATTCATGTACTAAACAGAAGTCCCACCCTTGCAGTTCAAAATGTGACGCCGCAAGAAGGTTGGAGTGGACGTAAACCAACTGTCAAGCATTTCAAAATTTTTGGTTGTATAGCATATGCACATATTCATCAAAAGAGAAGAAAACTTGATGAAAAAGGAGAAAAATGCATTTTTCTTGGTGTTAGTGAGCAGTCAAAAGCGTACAAATTGTACAATCCCATCACCAAGAAAATTGTCATTAGTCGTGATGTAATTTTTGATGAAGAAAGATTCTGGACGTGGAAAGAAAACAATGTCAAGCAACAAATATTGGCAGACTTTGATGTAGAAAAAGAAAGGCAACAACCCGTGGAGAATGAACAACTGGTGGAAAACGAGCAACAACTAATTGAAGAAGACCTTCCAAGCCCAGCTGGAGTTAATGTTGCTGATGAACGACCTCAACGATTAAAAAAAGACCAGCATGGATGACTGATTATGAGATACCTGGGAATGATCCATCTGAAGACCCACTTACACATTTTGCTCTTTTTTCAGATTGTGATCCTGTAGCTTTCAAAGATGCTATCAAGGAGTCGAAGTGGCGGCAGGCTATGGATGCAGAAATAGCAGCCATTGAAAGAAACAACACTTAGGAGTTGACAGAGCTTCCAAAAGGGCAAAAGAGCATTGGTGTGAAGTGGGTATACAAGACGAAATTGAAGAAGAATAGAGAAATTGACAAGTACAAGGCACGCTTAGTCGCTAAGGGCTATAAACAAGAGTTCGGCATTGACTACAAAGAAGTTTTCGCTCCAGTTGCAAGACATGACACAATCAGACTAGTGATTGCATTGGCGGCACAAAACTCATGGCCTATTTTCCAGTTGGATGTGAAATCAGCATTTTTACATGGCAACTTGGAAGAACAGGTATTTATTGATCAACCTCCTGGTCATGTGAAGCTTGGAAGTGAAAATAAGGTTTATAAACTCAAAAAAGCATTGTATGGGCTAAAACAAGCTCCACGCGCTTGGTATAGTCGTATAGATGCTTATTTTTCTAAAGAGGGATTTAACAAATGTCCATATGAGCATACACTTTTTACAAAGACTGGAGATAGAGGAAAATTGCTCATTGTTTGCTTATATGTTGATGATCTTATTTTCACTGGAAATGATAGTGCCATGTTTGACAAATTTAAACAATCTATGATGGTTGAATTTGATATGTCTAATCTTGGAACAATGCATTAATTTTTGGGCATTGAAGTGGTGCAATCTGCAGCTGGAATTTTTATTTGCCAAAAGAAGTATGTGCAAGACATTTTGGACAGGTTTCAAATGAAAAATTGCAACTCTGTTAGCACACCTACTGAAGTTGGTTTGAAGCTTGTTCGAGATCCTGAAGGAAAGAAGATTGATAGCACTCTTTACAAGCAAATTGTAGGGAGTTTGATGTATTTAACAGCTACGAGACCTGACATAATGCATGCTGTAAGTCTTATTAGCAGATACATGGAATGCCCGAGGGAGATACATCTTTTAGCTGCAAAAAGAATCTTTCGATACTTGCAAGGGACTGCTGGTTATGGGTTGTTTTACAAGAAAGGAGAAACGTCAAATTTAATTGGATTTACGGATAGTGATTATGCCGGAGATCAAGATGATAGAAAGAGCACTTCAGGTTATGTCTTTATGATAGGTTCAGGAGCTGTCTCATGGTCTTCAAAGAAACAACCAATTGTCACGCTATCAACAACCGAAGCCGAGTTCGTTGCTGCAACTTCATGTGCTTGCCAAGCTATTTGGTTGAGAAAAGTTCTTGAAGAGCTCTATTTCAAGCAGCAAGGACCAACCCAAATTAATTGTGACAGCAGTTCAGCAATTAAGCTCTCCAAGAATCCTGTTTTACATGGGCGAAGTAAACATATAGATGTGAAGTATCACTTCTTAAGAAATCTCACCAATGATGGAATCATTGATCTTAGCTTCTGCAGAAGTGAAGACCAAGTTGCTGATATATTCACTAAACCTCTCAAAGTGCCTTTATTTCAAAAGCTACGAAAATTGCTCGGTGTACGCACTTTGGAATGACCAGTTTCAGGAATGATTTTTGTTATTAATGTTGTCTAAACTGACTGTTTGAAAATCTTTCAGTTTAAGGGAAGGAATGTTGAGTCACGTGAGTTTATTTGATTAAGTCTCTTTGTTATTTATGAGTCTTTTGTTTTGTCCGAGTCCATTGGAGTCTGTTATTAGTGGGATAATGCTTAAATTGATAATGTTGTAAGTCCTAGTCTTTGGGCGCTTATGCAGGAGTTAGTGGCTGAGTTAGTGGCTAGATATTGTTTAGGCATATAGCCGTTTGGCATTTAGCTCTATAAATAGAGCAGTTTGCTTTTGAGTCATTGTATTCTTTAGCAGCAAAGTAATAAATAATTCTTGTCTTTTGTGTCATTAACTATTTGTCTCTTTCTTTTTATTTTGTCAACAGTTAATGCGTTGGTTGGACTATTTGTATATTAGAAATGTTGAGTTGGGTTTTAACTATCAATAATGTTTTGTTTACAACTGAGTCATATAAACAAACAAAAATTATACAAAATTTATGTAAAATAATTATTTTACCCTTTTTTTGTCTATTTGTATAATTCAGTTATATGACTCAGTGTAAGTATAGCATTGCTTTTTAAATATAATGCTTGCTAGAGGTTGTAATTGCATGCATTTGGGTTGGATATTGTATTAGAATAAGATTTAATTTGTGTTGATGGGCTTAATTGAATTTGTGGGCTAAATGGAATTGATGGGCTTAATGGAATTAGTGGACTAATTGTGTTGGTGGGCTTAATTAGTTTGGTGGGCTGACTTAAACTTATGGTTGTGGTGGGCCAGTTTATTATTACTTTAAGGCCCAATTAATTGTTGGGCTGTTGGGTTTATTTAAATGTGGACCAAATGGAATTAAAAGGCCGAGATTATATTGTTTGAGTTTTATGTGAATTAGTGGATTGGCCAATTAACAATAAGGCCCAAATTTTGTTAATTGGCCTTTAGTTGCATAGTTTAATGAATATAGGACTTAGCCTTTGAAGCTTTATTAGGTTTAATTATAATGGTGTCGAGCCTATTAAAATGAAGTCCAGATATTAGTAATTGGGCTTTAGATGCATAAATGGATGAATAAATGACCTGGGCTTTGAAGCTTTATAGGGTTAAATTATATCAAGGGGTTGACTGCAAGGATCTAAAGCTATGGGGGTTTGGTAGAAGAATCTGAAGGTATGGGGGGGTTGACAAAGAATTTAAACGTATGGGGAGTTGAGCAGGGTTTAGAAGTTTGGGACAAAAATAGATGAATAAAATAGGGGCTAAATGATATTTTACATTATTATTGGTTTTTATATTTCAAGCATTGTACACTTATTTTGCATGTTCGTTTAATGTTATTACATATATGTATTGGCATACGAGCATGCATAACTTATGAGGTGTTGGATTTTCAGATGCGATGTGTGTTGATGTGTTTATCCTTCGGATTGAGACCACACTTTTTAGCTAGCATTTTGTATTTATCCTTATGCGCACATTGAGGTAGTCTGTACAATCGAATGATTTCGATATCCTACTGGGACAAGACGAACACCTAACGAGCTCCAGGCTGGATTACGCCCAGCAGGTATTGGCTTAGGCGGT